TCCTTAAAACACATTTTTAAACCTTGTTCTACATTATGTAGAACAGTATGTACTTTTAGAACCAGGAACCTCAAAATTGTACACTTAAAACCAATTTTGGTATCCATTGATGCAGCCCGAATCATGCTTGCTTGCTTCAAAATAGAATCTCTTATACATTATATATGCTGCCTTCTTCCCAAGTTTAAAAGCTCTGTGTCAAAAGACATCAGGTTATTGCTCTGAAGCAGCTCAGTTTATTTTCACTGCTTAATGTTATAAACAATACATAACACATATTTATTCTCATCAGATGCAATATTTTCTGTAAAAACACTGAGCCTGATAGAGACATAGTCCTTTGATTTTGGATTTTATTGAAAATTGTGGTATTTGACGATTACTAGTGTACCTAAGATCCTTAATTGAAATTTTAGTTGACCCAGGGATACTGTGAAGAACCAGAGTGCTATAAATGAAGGGGGAACGACAGCCTCTCCCAGAGACCACTCTTAATTCTAGACTGTGTAGGATCCTGAATCATGAAGATGTTCAGCTATCCTAACCATCATTTATCCTGAAGGATAACACTGGATCCAGCTGAATTGGTTTTAGGAAACTGAAGAAATTGTGCTTTGGCTGGCGTGAGCAATAGAAGGCAGACTCCAGCAGAGAATGGAAATGCATGGCCTGTTAGAGGTTGCTCTTACTTTTCTCTTTCCTTTGTGAACCCAGAGCTATTGCGCCCATCCTCAGAAGGCTACTCAGCCCAGTTCATTTCTCCCAGCACCTTTTTTGTTTCCTGTGAAAACAGGAGCCTATAGCTAGCAGTCCTCTGGCCACTGATTGTTTGTTTGCCTCCACAGAATCTGTACCAGAACAGGTTTCTAGGCCTGGCTGCCATGGCGTCTCCATCTAGAAACTCTCAGAACCGACGGCGGTGCAAAGAGCCCCTGCGCCACAGCTACAACCCCAGCCAGTTTCACAGCATGGCCATCAGGACCGGCCCCCATGGCACTGTCACCATCCCTCGCTCTACCAGTGACACTGACCTAGTCACCTCAGACAGCCGCTCCACTCTCATGGTCAGCAGCTCCTACTATTCCATAGGGCACTCACAGGATCTGGTGATCCACTGGGATATAAAGGAGGAAGTAGATGCTGGAGATTGGATCGGAATGTATCTCATTGGTGAGTTGAACAGCACTTAGCCTGGGCTAACAATGTGCTGCGTGCTACGTGTGTTAGGTTCGTGGTATGGGTGTTCAACGTGTGTATTATTTATGATTCACTTCCTCATATCCTTTATGTTGAACTATTTAGTGTTGAATTATTTGATATTTCAATAAATCCTGTAATTTTGTTAAAGTACACAATCCTGTAATTTTGTTAAAGTATGCAATCAAACGTGTTATATACCAAATTGAACACACTGAAGGCTAACGCTTTGCTAAACAATGTGAAAAAAGTCGAGATAGCAGTGCCAGGTATGCTTGAACACAATCTTCCCTACTATTTGCAGCTGTGCAAACTCACAAGTTAATATTACTCATGAGTTAACATCAAATGCCTGTTTTTAAACCCATGTGTTTATAAAACCAAAGCAGCACTTTCTATACAACCCATATTGACATAGATGGAGGTAATTTCACTTTTGTTTCCAACATAATTTGGCTCTTTTCATTTGTTCTTTCAAAATACTTACTGCTTTGTATTAAAAAGATGCAATGGTACCACGGAGTAGGAGGAAGCACACTGCAGGCTAAGCAACTGTGTGATGGCTAAAAGGAAAATGACTGCATAAATCCCTGGTGCAAGAGGAAATAAGTCTCATAAACTTAAAATTAAGAAAATAAAATTGCATGAAAAATGTATTGCATTTATTTTGAATGATATGATCAGATGTGGTGGAAATTGATGTATTTATAGTGGTAAATCCATCATCAAACCAAGGTGTATTTGCTGGGCTTTTGCTAGAGTCAGCACCAAGTTCAACAGACACTGGGACTTCCAATGAATTGAACCATTTACAGTCAGACACACAATGCTAGGCCTTTCATCACTGATTATACATAATGAATTGTTAGGAATATTTTACAGCCTTCACCATGTTTCTGGTAGAATAAAGGAGAACTTACTGTAAGTTATCAGCAGAATATTTTTAGTTCTTTTGAAGGTTTTATAATCAGCTGTTTGGTGGATTTATAATACACAAACTATTTTAATGATGAGGGAGCATAATATTTCGCATTTTTAAGCAGATAGTGGCCACTCTCTAAATTGAACTTCTAAACAGGCAAAGTTTAATTTGCTTAAAATATAGCTCTGGAATCAAAGTACTTGGATATCACTGATTTAGAACAGAGCTTATAACATAACAGCCTACCAAGAATATTTTGTTTAGTTCATGTTTTTCTAAATTAGAACAGGTATCAACCTTTTTTTAAATAGTAATCTCACATTGAAATCGAATTTCTAGCTCCTTTAATAGAAGCCTTAATTTTGACAGAATGAACTTGTAATTATACTTTGTGCTAATCAGCTAGAGTTTAGACTGAACTGCATCCCTCAGTTTTGCCAGAGCCTTTCGCAGCCAGCCCCTGTCTCGATTATGAATGTTACGTGCTTAGCATCTTAAATAATTAGCTGTTGAAAACAAGCATAAGGTTGAATCAGCTCTTTACGGCTATATCTTTCTACAGTGATGAGTGAAAATGCCATTTAATCCTCAAATTAAAGAATAGTTGAAAGAGGAACATTCATGAAAGGAAACTAGGACGCCTGAGACAGTTACCCTTGGTAAAGGAACAGATGGGTCTGGAGCTCTGCCCTGGAACCAGGCTGGGGGTGTAGATTTGGGTCATTGATTTTGTGGGATTAGATAAAGTCTCTCATGGATTGTGTGTAGAGAACACCAGAAGCCTCCAGCAAGGAAAGATGCTTGGAGGAACAGCTTTCTAAGGAGGAGCTTAAAAAAGGAGATGGGGAAGTAATAGAAGTAGGACAAAAACTGGCAGACTGCATTAAAGATGACAGAGGATTTCAAAGAAAGGAAGGAGTGGTAGCAGTATCAAGTGTCATGAAACTATAAATATTAAATTAGCTCTGTTAACAAGATGTTTTGACAGAATCAAAAGTAAACATCTTAGAATTTAATTTAAAAATTAACTTCTTTTAATAAGTGACATATATAAGTGATATAATTGTGAGGTTATTTGATGCAAAATACCAACATTTTTAGTGGTACAGCATTTCAAAAAAATTGCAAAATCCAAAATAATATGTTAATCTTAAAAATTTATCATTTGTAGTCCTTAGTATCTATGAGTTTTACAGTGCCTTGTTGAAGATAATTCATAGATCTAAGGCCTAAAATTTTAGGTTGATTTCATTGAATCTGTTGTTTCACAGATGAGAAATGGCAATTCAGTGATTCCCACGACCATTAAATTACCTTCCCTGATGGCAGACCCCATTGGCTCTGGGAACATTTCAGTACATTCTGGCAGAACATCATGGATAGGCCATTCCACATCAGTAGACTATCTAAATGTCTGAGAGAGACCTGGTTTATAGTGATTTACGCCTCATTTGACCTCTTGAGTTCTCCAGGCAATCATTACCTTTCTTCTGGTATCCAACAGTGAGCTATCCTAATGTGGAGAGAGATTTATATGTGTTGCCCTGCTCATTGACACTGTCACGAAGTCACTAATGCTATCCTTTGTCAGCACCATAGTGACCCAGTGGTAAGGCCATATTAGCATTACCATTATTACAAAAGTGAAATCAGGTTTGGCTGCTCTCATTTATGGAGTGGTATGTGAATTAGATAAAAATGACAATTGGTTCCCTCCTTGTGGCATGGAGTTTCACTTGGTTTGAAAACATACTCTATGACTGGCTGGATATCTGGCTCTGCCAGCTATTGACATCATAGCTTTAAGATCCTTATCTTCAAGGGCCCTCCCTGGTGGCGCAGCAGGTTAAAGCACAGCACTAAGAAGCTAAAGCCACTTCTGCATGAGTTTGATCCCTGCCTGCCCCTGCCCGGAGGAGATCCATATGTTGTGGCAGACCTCTCCTGGCCTGCCCGCTGCTCCCCTCAGCAGTGTACTTCGTCGATCTGCCTGTTCTGCTCCCTGCTCTGTCTCTGGTGAATACTCTCACCCTCCGTATCTCTGGCATGTACTGTATGAATAAATAAATAAATCTTAAAAAAAAAAAAAGATCCTTATCTTCAAAATGGAGGGGAAAAAATGATCCTTCCCAGGATCATTGAAAGGCATTGAAATGAGACAGTGTTTTCATGCCAGCTGATCAATATATCATATCTTGATTTCATTTGTCAGGCAGCTCTGTTCACCATATACATCATGACAAATTACCCTAATTCTCAGGTTTTAGTTAGTCTATCCATGTTTTAGCTGTACATTATAGGCAAGATCTTCTTACCAAATCAGAGATACCTGGAAAGAGATTTTCAAATGCCAGTAAAGGGGAAGAAGTTTATAATTTTACCAAAATCAAGTACATAGAGACAGATTTGCTAAAAATCAGTGTATTTAGGAAACAGTTTTTCAATATTTATTCATTAAAAATTACTTGACTTTGCAAGTAACATCTAATTGTGTGCCCTATACTTAGGTAAAGATACGGATGTGTGCATAACTTACTTGCACCAATAACTGCATTATTATACAGAAAATGAAGGATACAATTAATAATTTTAGCCATTAGGATTGTAAATTAATGACAAAGTATTTATCACATATTTTCACCTCTTTATTTCACATTCCAAAATTAAAATGTTATTCAATATCTCAGTGCACTCTTTAGGATTATCAAAATTTTTAACTATCCATTTTGAAAGCAGCTCTTTGAAAACTGCTTAAACATGAAATACACAAGTACTATTGTGAAAATATAACTGAACATGTAAAGAGACATACCATGCTTAAAATTTGCAAAACTAGGGACTCCACACATAACATGTCAGAATAGAGAGACTGGTATCACTTTCTTCTCTAAAAATAAGAATAAAAACACAGTATTTACTCATAGGATGATCCAGATGCTCCCCCCTGTCTAGCCACAGAGCTCTCAAGCTAAGGTTGGTGAATGCTGAGGGGAAGAATCAGGAGCAACTGAAGGGGAGCCTGACTGGGAGATTAGCTATCTTAGCCATCTGAACAACCTAGACACAATGGGGGCATTGTGAAATTCCTTGAAGGAATTGTGTTGGCACACGTGGACACAGACCTGACTTAGGGACGTATGAGCTCTGTGCATGCAGACCTTGGAAATTGGGAACTCTGTCTTTGGCATGGGCACTGAGGTTTCCTTTTTCCCCATCTATAGCAGACATTATGCTGAGCCAGTTCGAATTAAAAAATAAAATCCCCAAAGCAGGGAAGACTTGTGAGATAACTCATGAATTTACTGAGGGAAAAAAGAATAAACAAACAAAAACAATGTTCAGATATTGGAGCCTCACAAGAGCAGCAGCAGGGGCAGGGTTGGAGTGGCAATGGCCACTGCTTTTGACCATAGCAGCAAAGCAGCGCGCACCCACCTCCAAACGTGGGCACAGTAGTAACTGTCTGCCAAGGATGACTTTGACCCCCACCAGGAGATTCAAGCTTCATAGATCATGACCCATGGCAGGAAAAAAACAACAGGGAGGGTTGGTAGAACGTTAACAACCTAAGCACAATATACAGCTTGCAGGGAAAGAAAGAAGAGGGGGAAGGTAGAGGTGACCAAATTCAATCCTCGGCTGAGATTGAATATTAAAACCCCACATTCTCTCCCTGTCCCCACTACATGCCGAGGTAAATTAAGACAATAAGCAACCTAAACTAAATCTATAGCACCCCAAACACACGCACACACACACAAAGTATAAAATGAGGAAGTACATGTGCCAGAAATTAGGAACTTCTGAACACAAATGGAATGGCAAAATAAGAAGAAAAGAAGTCCTGGGACAAATATAAAGGATACAGTAAAAGAGGCTCTATCATAAGAACTTCAAAACAGCAATACTAACAACACTAAGTGAGCTACCAGTAGATCAGTTAAAGGCAGATAGACAGGTTCAAGATCTTAGAAAGAAGATCAGAACAAAGAGAGTTCTTTGCCAAAAAGGTGAATACATATATATATAAAGGAAACAAAGAATGCAATGT